ACTCCGCCGCTGAGGTTTGGCTGGAAGGAGGAGGAGGTGGAGGAAGACATGCTGCGCACTTTGGTGGAGATGGGTAGCTAGGGTTTTGGGAAGAAGGTAGCTCTGTATACCATGTGCGATTGCGGTAAACGTCTTGCCGATCCAGGCCGACGTGCTGCTTGTTAAATAGAGGGGTTGCGAGCCCAATACGCGTACATGTCGTTGGAGAGATTACAACTTGGGAAACAAGAATACAAGGGATAACAAGATAAAGACTACATGAATATCTATCCTGTCTAACTACTCCTCCTTCGGTAGAGATCCTCCTTGCTGAACACGCCATCATGTCATGCATATTGTGTTTAACACACGTGTGTGTGGCAGTTATCGGGACCCTTTAAATATGTTCGGGCAAGTTAATCATTAATGCGATTTCTTTCCCGCGGTAGGCCGTGAGACAGTCGGGCTGGAAAGCCGGGCTCCAAAATCCCCAATCTGCTCCAGGTGGTCAAACCATCCCACCATCCCCCGGCGCACCACCATGGCAGCATCCCCGCCGGCGATCCTGGACGAGCTCTTCGAAGAGATCCTCCTCCGCCTCCCGCCCGACGACCCGGCCTGCCTCCTCCGCGCCTCCCTCGTCTGCAAGGCCTGGGGTTGCGCCGTCTCCCGCCCCCACTTCCGCCGCCGCCTCCACGAGCTCCACCGGGCGCCCCCGGTGCTCGGCCTCCTCCACGACCTGGAAGGCGAGCGCGTCCCACGATTCATCCCCACCACCGCGTCGTCCTTCTCCCTCGCCGCTCCGGACGGCCGGTTCTGGCGGACCCTCGACTGCCGCCACGGCCGCGCCCTCTTCCTCTCCAACCCCCAGTCCCCGGAAACTCAGGAGCTTCTCGTGTGGGAGCCAATCACGGGTGCCCAGCAGCGCATAACGGTGCCCGCGGCGCTCCAGAGCAACTTCCCCATGGCGGCCGTCTTCTGCGCGGCGGACGGGTGCGACCACCGCGCCTGCCTCGGGGGCCCTTTCCGCGTGCTCTTCATCCTCTCGGTCGTGGTAGGCCAAGTCACTGACGACGGCTGCTATCTCACGTCGGCGTGTGCATACTCGTCGGAGACTGGCACCTGGGGCGAGCCGACCTCGTTGCCCCGCCGCTCGCCCATGCCCATGATCTTTACATTTTATTCCAGTGTGCTCGTTGGAAAGTCTCTGCTCTACTTCATGTCTGATGATGGATTCATTCTAGAGTGTGACTTGGCAAGGCACAGACTGGCTGTGTTCAACCCACCAAACCATGAGCTGGTCTGCGGCCAATATACCATCATGCTCGCCGAGGACGGTGGACTGGGAGTTTGCCAAAGGTTGAATCAGCAGCTCAAATTGTGGTCAAGGGAGGTGAGTGACAGGGCTGATGCACGATGGATGCTGAGCCGGGTCGTCTACCTGGAAAATTTGCTCCCAGTTGGTGCTCTTGTGGATGCAGAGACCAGAGTGCAAGTGCTGGGCTTTGCCGAGGGAGCAAATACCATTTTCCTGACCACGGTTGATGGCATCTTCATGATCGAACTGCAATCAGAGCGGGCGAGGAGGGTGTGCGGTGATCATCTCTTTTGTTATTTGATTCCAGTTGTCAGCTTCTACACTCCTGTGCCTCGAGGTGAGCACAGGGATCCGTCGTTGAAGCATAGTGAGGATTCAGGTGGTGGGGAGCAAGGAGGGGAGGAGAAAACAGAGGAACACCAATTGATCAACGAAATGAGTCAAATGTTACCAAGGGGGACTTTGTCAACGCTTTCGATTGCATCAACCACGCCATAGAGAACAGGTTAGGATTCTCTTCCCAAAAGCCGCTAGCCCCGCTGAAGTGTGCCAATGTGTTATTTGTGTGGAAACTAACTTGGAACTAGTTTGGTGCTTTCTTGGATCTGTTATTGTTCTATAACATGTCCCTAGTCGCTCTGAACCTTTGGCTTCTGTATTTTGTAAGACAAGGATTAGTGGGGTTCAAGGTGTTCTAAGATGTCCCTAGTTGCTATGAATGTGTTGCTGTTTGAGATGTCACTCGTTAACAATACTTGGGAGTCAGAGCCTAGTATGTTCTATTATTGATGTGCACTTTGTGATTATCATCGTATCAAAGTATGATTACCATGCTATCCAGTACTAGCTAGTTCCAAATATCTCATCACTCTGCAGTTTATTCGTACTGTACTTCATGATCTGAGCAGACACTAGCCAGTTGTTTGAAAAGGCAGCCAATAGAACAAACTTAGCACCTTGTATCGTCAAATTGGTTGACAGGATAATTATAGCTGTGCTGTCCTATCATAGATCACAATAACTCTCTGCCTTAACAATTATAGACTGAAGTTGTATATCTTTATTGTCAGGGTTCCACCCTATGATGAAGTTGCTCCTGAGTGTACCAGCATGGTTTACGGACATGTATGCGTCTTGCTATATGAAGAATACGTGAAGACTTCAACCAGCAAAGATGATGCTGGGAACTCAAACGACCTCAGGTAGCAATGTTGATGATGCTCCACCTTCAGAGAAAAGGTGATTCTGAATAATATGCTGTATATACTACTGATCCTTTTGCCCCAGAGGCCCAGACCGGTGTTGCTAAATACTCACAAGTTTTCATTATTCTCTAAGTATTTGTGTGAAATTTTATTTGTATGTAGCAGTTTCTCAAACAAGTAGTGAAACCAACTGAACCCAGAGCTGTTAACATAGCATGAATGCTGGCCCAAGGGAATCATATTACACACGCAGATGTGAAGTGTGTTTGGGACTTGGAACAGACTGTCATTGGAAGAGCGTTCAATATAAGTTATTTTCCTGATAGTTAGTGTGTATTATTAAGTTTTAAAACATGGATAGTGGCTAGATGATGTTGCACATAGAAAACTTTAGCTTGGTCATAACCAGCTTCTTTATAGCTGTACATAGTTTGACCATATACCCAGTCACACTACAGCTATATCTACAACTACAGTGAGTGATCAGTCCCACCCACAAAATACTCTCCATCAGTGAGCTCTTAGAGCCAACCATGACTACCTGTTCTGTCGCAGTGATTGCCTGTCATGGTGGAGGCAGTAAGCAATTTGGGTTTTTATCACACTAGATGTGACATTTCAGTGAATGTGTGGTTTATCACAATCTAGCATATTGAAAGGAACTGAACATGTGTGCTGGTACAGAGAAAGTTCTGTCCAAAATGAGGAGCATCACAAATGAAGTTGGACATAAGGAAAAAAAAATCTTTTTTAAACTGTCGAGGCACCAATATATGCAAGATCCCAAGTACTTGCCATAGAATCCACACCTTACAGAGCAAGAACAATTAATTGACAAACAGTAAGAGAAGTGAAGAATAATACACTTGCACCATAGTACAGCAGGAGGTGAATATTGCTGCTGATCATTCTCTATGCTTATTTGCATAAACTGAGAACCGTGCAGGAACCGATACTTCCTGTACAGGATGGGTGCAGCTTATGAGGCATGAAACCTTTGGGAAAAAATCATATTATTTTGTAAGTCTAGAAACAGGGGGAACACAAACAAACAGTGAGAAAACTAACTTATCCAGAATATACAAAGTATGTAAATAACAACACTTCTTATTGTGGGAAAGAAAGAACAATTCAAACTACGGTTACTTGATAGGAAATGTAACTTTTTTTTACATGAAAGGTAACTCTGCTTTTATCTTTGTGCCCTGGTACTTTTCCTGAATAATTATTTGTCTGTAATAGCAGCAATCTTAGTTGTGCTGCTATTCACCTCCAGTTCCTCCTACGCAAAATGAAAAATTGATAGAAAAATATGTGCCAACGGCATGGCTGCATATTCCTTGCAGGTTCAGGCACTCTGTAAGGATGGTGCTACAGCTCTAAGTAGAAACTAGATGGTGTACTAATCCAGTTCAATAACATAGCAGACCTGCAATGGAATTAGCTATGCATGATGTCTACTTATAGAGCAACGTTGGACACAATGGAAACACATGAGCTGGACTGGCATGATAATATTAGGCGTGCTAACGATGTTGGTCATTTTCTTGACACAAAGGCACGGCTGAAATGTATGGAATAACCTACAATACAACGTACTCCCTCCGTTCGGAATTACTCGTCCAAGAAATGAATGTATCTAGATGTATTTTAGTTGTAGATACATCCATTTTTGTGACAAGTAATTCCAAACGGAGGGAGTAGGAAGTAATTCATCTTCTGCCCATCTTCTCAATAAATGTAGCATTTGCTGCAGAAGGTGCTGTTCATCTGAGGTAATCAAGAAAATATGCAACGAACATCAGGACAGATTGTACTACATATTACTCTGAACATCTGGACCAACGCAAGTTTTGGTGGTCAAACATCAGGACCAACTTTAAATCCAGGCAACTTATTAATAAAAAGTCGACCGATGAATAAATTAAATCCAGGCAACTTATTAATAAAAAGTTTTTGTTCACAAAGCGATAAATGAATATGTGTAGGGATTTTGCATTTGGCATACAAGGTACGGGCGAGATAACGTTGCAATTTTCAGGAATTCGATGTTTCAGGAGTTTTCATTCAAAAAAAACATAAGAAATTTGCTGTTTGAACAGTGGAAAAGTGAGGCTCCAAAATAGGAAAACTTTGTTTTTGCCTACATTCCTTATGCCACTCTAAAATTCGACATATCACTTTTGCCGCTCTTAGTTTTTGACAATACATCACAAATGCTATTCCGTGGCAAAAACAATAACTTTTCATTTCACTTTTGTCACTCTTAGATTTTGACAATGTGTCGCAATTGCCGCTCTAAAATTATTGTTTTTGCCACGAAATGACAATTATGATGTATTGTCAAAAACTAAGGGTGGCAAAAGTAAAATGTCAAATTCTAGAGTGGCATAAGCAAAGTGGTCAAAAGTTAGAGCGGCAAAATCCCGGACCTAGTTAAAGCAAAATGGCTCCAAAATCCCCAATCTCAACACACAGAGTCAGACCTAGCCACCCCCATGGCAGCAGCGCCGCCGCCACTCCCGGAGGAGATCCTCCTCCGCCTCCCGCCCGACGACCCGGCCTGCCTCCTCCGCGCCTCCCTCGTCTGCAAGGCCTGGGGCTGCGCCGTCTCCCTCCCCCACTTCCGCCGCCGCCTCCACGAGCTCCACCGGGCACCCCCCGTGCTCGGCTTCCTCCACGGCTGCGACGACGACCGCGTCCCCCACTTCACCCCCACCACCGCGTCGTCCTTCTCCCTCGCCGCTCCGGACTCCCGCTCCTGGCGGGCCCTCGACTGCCGCCACGGCCGCGCCCTCTTCCTCTCCAAGGGTGACGCACAGGAACTCCTCCTGTGGGAGCCAACCACGGGCGCCCAGCAGCGCGTGCCGGTGCCCTTCGCGTACGATGACATCCGCCGGGACGAGGAGCTGACAGTGTACGCCACCGCGGCCGTGTTCTGCGCAGCCGACGGGTGTGACCACCGGGACTGCTTCAGAGGCCCTTTCGGCGTGTTATTCGTCTTCTGCGTCGAGCAAGACGGTGACGGTGACAACGGGGTGTGTGTCACGTTGACGCTCCTATACTCGTCGGAAACCGACTGCTGGGATGAGCTGCGCTGGATTTTCCATGACTTGCCCATGTGTTTTACATTTTCTTCCAGCGTGCTTGTTGGGAGGTCTCTGCTCTACTTCATGTCTGATGATGGGTTCATCCTAGAGTATGATTTGGCACGGCATCGCCTGGCCATTTTGGACCCACCGAACTATGAGTCGATCTATGATGCCCGATATAACATCATGCTGGCGGAGGACGGTGGACTGGGAGTTAGCGAAGAGATGAATCCGCATCTCAAATTGTGGACAAGGGTGATTGAAGGCGCCGATGACCGATGGGTACTGAGCCGGGTCATTTACTTGCAAAATTTGCTCCCAGATGGTGCCCTCATGGAGCCAGCAAGTTCATTGTATGTGTTGGGCTTTGCTGAGGGAGCAAATGTCATTTTCATGACCACGGTTGCTGGCCTCTTCACGATTGAACTACAATCAGAGCGGGTGAGGAGGGTGTGTGATGATCATGGCTTATGTAATTTGATTCCAATTGTTAGCTTCTACACTCCTGTGCCCCGAGGTGAGCAAAAGGATCCATCGTTTGGACCCAGTGAGGGTGTGGGTGATCAGGAGGGAGGAGGGGAGGAGGAGAAGAACACAGTAGGTCAGGCACATCAGTTGTTTGACAATGGGTCCAACATTATCAAGGAGGGGGGCTTTGTGGGCGCCTTCGGTTACACCAGCCATGACCTCGAGAATAGGTTAGGATGCTCTTCCCAAAAGCTGTTAGCCCTGCTGAAGCAAATAACCTGCAATTAGTTCAGTGCTCTTTCGGATCTGCTGTTGTTTGAATATGTCCATAGTTGATCTGAGCCTATGACTTTCTGCGGTGATGTGGTTACCCAGCTATGAGTGTGTTGCTGTTTGAGGTGTTGCTCGATAGAGGCTAGTATTTCTGTTATGATGTGTGCATTGTGATTGGCATCGTATCAAAGTGCATTTACTGGGCATGAGAAGAATATAGTTACGGTGAGCCATGGTGGCGCTTAGAGAGCATTGTGTCTTCACGCTGCTCTAACGGAGATTAGCATCTGCAAGGGTGTGAACTTTGGGATACATTGTTGTCTCCGCATTCCTCGATTATTCTCTTACCCGAGCCCTTTACTTATGAACTTACTTTGTGATAGCCATATTGCTTCATGTTATATATCTAACTATCACATAGTTGTTTATCTTGCTTAGCATAAGTTGGGGGGTGCACATAGTTGATCCTACTATAATAGGTTTTGTGCTTGACAAATTAAACACTAGTTTTAGTACACATTTGTTCAAGCCTAAAATGTAGTTGTTTTTAAACCACCTATTCACCACCACCCCCTCTAGTCGACATCCACGTCCTTTCACTCGAAAAGTCTGATATGCTCAGGACAAACACCTCAATGCAGGTTTCTAAAACCTCCTTAATGAGGCTGCTCAAACTGACACAGGGGAAGATGCAAACAAGAGGCATAATCATAGATGAACAAGCTCTTAGGAAGGGAGCTTGCTACCTCAAGCATATTGTCCTTGATAAAGAAATTCAGCCCCATGCTTGCAGTGTCTGCGCCATTGTGTTGCAGGTGTTGTAGAACGTAGCAATAATTCAAAAAAATTCCTACGTATCACCAAGATCAATCTAGGAGATTCTAACAGAGAGAGAGAGAGAGAGAGAGAGAGAGAGAGAGAGAGAGAGAGAGAGAGAGAGGAAGTGCATCTTCGTACCTTTCAAGATCGCTAAGCGGAAGCCTTACAAGAACGCGGATGATGGAGTCGTACTCGCGGCGATT